TCTCTGCTCATGTCCAGGGCACTGCATGGTCCTGCCCTGCGCTCCCCAGATCCCCTGCTGGGTGCTGCCTTTGCAGGCCACTCCATCTCTCATGAGTATCCACTTCCACAGCCATTCATCTCCAGGTGGTTATGCTCACCACTACTGACAACGCCTCTGCATCTCATACACACTGGGCTGCTCCCCTACTAAAACCTCCCAAAGCCACATGTTACACATCCCTGTTCTCTGCCATGCTCCTAGCTGTTTTGTGCTGTTTTGATCTGTCTGTCTGCATAGCCCTGTTAGACTACGTGCATGAAAGATGTGTTGTCAATCTGAAATGGTCTTGAAAATGTATTCGGTAAAGAGCCTTCCAGGGAGAAAGGGAAGTTTAAAGGCCCAAAAGCCAGAAGTCATTGCCAGAGGGGACTTATGTCTGTTGAGAAAGAAAACAAGCCCATTTAATTGTAACTGTGATTTGTGCCAAGACAAATATTGTGGAAATCTTACCCAAAAAGTAAATACATAGTAGTGACATATAGACAGAGAGTAGTCCACTAAAGAATAAAAAGCTTAAAAGTGCAAGTGTATATTAACAGGATATACTTCCCAGAAACACTCAGGTCAATATCATGGTCAGTTCACTGCAAGTCACCAAGAGATAGAGCCAGAATTGGGGGCTTAGGAGATGGGCATTTGGCTGCCCCACGCACAGCTTTCTGGAAGAATGGATGGAAGCCTTTTCAGTCTTCCCATTGTCCATAAATTGGCCTGATGTTAGACTCTTAGATAAAGGATACTTGTGGAATTATTCATTTTACTTAACAAATGAGAAAACCCAAGTTCCTCAGTGACTTGGCAATCGTGACAAAGTAGAGGAAAAGAAAGATGGAATGAGAAGGTGGAGAAAGTGTGATAGGGGAAAATTGAGAGACTCATTCCAAACAATAACTTGTGACACTGACTACCTCTCCCTTTTCAACCACTTCTTCACAGAATAGATTTGATAGGAGAAACAGTTTAAGTTCTGGATTTTCCTCTGATCTTTTTTCCAAAACATTTCTATATTTGACTGTAGACGTTATAAAGACACCCTTTGGGAATGTGTGTGGCATTTGCTATTCAAAGTCTAGCTTGGGCTGTGATATGTGGGTAAGATACACTTTTTAATCTTTTTTTTCCCCTTTTATCGCCCAAAACAAAGATTTGGTCTCAACTATGTATGCTGTCCATATGTTACCCAAATATCTTTGCCAGTCTTCAAGCTGCTGTCTTTGGCCAGTGTTCTCCTTAGAAAGATAACTGAAAAAAATATTTCATTTCTTGTTTATTTTTGTAATACCTGAAGAAAAGCTAATGCAGCTGAGGTTGGCTTGATCAGCTAAAACATTTCTAGATGGTTTTGTCACTTTGATCTCCTCCTCACTCATCAGTGAAATTGGAAATTCCCAGTTGTTTCCAACACAAACCAGTTACTTTGAGTTCTTTTTTCTAAGTAATCAAATCATCGGGAGCTCTGTTGGCTTACTGGGTAAGAAGTTGCATTGCCAACTCAAAGACAAGTAGCTTGAATCCACCAGCTGCTTCATGGGAGAAAGATGGCCATTCTCCTTCTGTGTGGTTTACTGCTTCTGAAAATCCACTGAAGCAACAGCTATGAGTTGGTTCCAGCTTGATAGCACATACCAACAAGACCAACCAAAAGATTATTTCATGGACATTATTTCATTTGAAATTTTATATTATTTCACCTGAAGTACAAGAAAAAAAATATATATAAAATCTAGAATTTGAAGTTGTTATTAATTCTGGGATTTATTTTTACATTTGTATTCTCAAATTTTTGTGCTTTCTACTCCACATGGTTGTAGGACTACATTTAAATCCCATCAGATATTTTTTTAACAGCTGAAATTGGAGCCCTGAGGTCATTTCCAGACTAATCCAGCTGTTTAATATATGACAATGTCCTCATCACACCCCCTCTCCCTATTATTTTTAAACTCACTCTTCAAAGTACACACACACACACACACACACAGAGCAACAGAGCCATCAGAGCAGAAATACTAGAACTTGGCTTTTTCTTTTTATCACTCACAGGAATGGCATTTTTATACAAAGCTGATGTCAGACATTGAACAGTCTCCTCACAGGAATGCATGTTTTGATTGAAAGTTATTTAATATCTTCAGTTCCTCAGAATTCTGCCTACAGCTAGAGATATTCTTAGCTGCAGGTCTTCTGCTGCCTTTGACTACATAGAAGAAACTGGATCATGATCGAGAGGGAATAAATGGCATTTTCCAAACAGTCCCAGATTCTATGTAACTTTATTTCAAAGATACAGTGTTAATGCCATAAAAGGTAATGATTTGTTGAGAATTAGGAAATTGTAAGAGAATTTTGAGATAAAGAAGAGTGTGTTAAAATAGTATCCTTCTTTAGTTCTGTTTCTACAGCCACTGAGTCTCAGCACTTTTGTCAAAATCCCTTTAGGGTAAGATATTAAAAAAATAAGGCTAAATAGTAGAAATTTATATTATCTTTTTCATAACTTGTGTTTATAGTTAAATCAATAATGATTGGTCCAAATTTGAGCAAGCTGGTAGTTGAAGCCTGATGTTATTTTTTTAACATCTTTTAATGTAAAATAATAGGAAAAAAATTGTATAGTACCTCAATGTAAATAAAAAATGGAGGACAACTTTATCCTAACCATAGAAAAAGGATTTTGACTCTGTAAATTGTTTTAGCTTCAGACAGTGGTAGTATTGCCTGCAGGGCAGCCTGTTCTCCTTAACTAAATCCTTTTGAGGCTAAATATTTACAGAGAATTGAATGATTTTTCCCCCCTAGCCTCCCAATAGCATTTCATGCATTTAGATATTGACGCGACATAGTTAGCAGTTAGGCGCTCTGGAACCGCGCTGTGTACTGCCATCATCACAAGATTCTGTTTTTCCAGCCCCCAAGGTCCTGTCTGTACTTATTTACAGGTCATCTGGATAGTAACTAGTGTGCGTTCAAGGCTTGAGTATTATCATGGTAACCTTGGCAACCGAGCTAGCTCCGATTTCAAAACCTCACATGCTGTATCATAAAATGAGATAACAGAATTGACATTTAGCTACATGTCTGTCATATAAATTAAGCTCTGAGAAAGATTTCCTTTATAACCATGTGCTTTAATACAGAAATAAAAGATACCAATTAGAATAATAGTATACAGATACATATTATTCCATGTTTAGATACTGAATATATGTCATCAATTACTTCTCTGTGATATTAAACTCAAATATTGTCATAACTATTCTCACTATACTACAATTTATGGTGTCTTTTTTTTTATCAGGATAGAGATTAATCAGATACCCAGAAGAAATGGGATTATGAATAATAGGAAACTCATTCCCTAATAAAATGTAAAATTCAAACATTCATGCCCTTGCTTGATACTGTTATTTATGCTGATTGAAAATAAAACTGAGCCTTGAATATTTTACTAATGAAATGAGGACCCCCAAAATAATGCACACTTCCCTTTCATTTATATGTTTGTTCATATTTTTACATATATTCTTCCAATGTCCAAGAATCTTTGATAATATCTTTATTTCTAGAAGGTTCTAAACAAGCAGATTCATACATTCATCTAATTTGAGTCCTATGGTATTTGTTTATGATTTTAAAATATTTTAACCTTAGATTCCCACCTCCTCCCCCAATCCCCATCCCCACTAATTTGTTCTAGAGTAATGCAGTTTTTCTTGGATATAAATTTAAAGCCTCAACTTGTGAATTACATTAAATGTAAGCATCCTGCTGTTTTCTGCACTGCAAGTTATTGTTTTTAGAAATTTTATGGTTGCCTGGATATAATTGTTTGTCTTCATTGATATGTAGGGGAAATACTCATTAACTATTTAAAAAGAAGGTATTTTGATTCATTAATTTTATTCTTCTCATTACATAAACAATAAAGGCAATGAATTAACATCTAATAAAATTGTAAGAGTTTATTTTTTAATTTAGCTGCAAGATAGTCTTCAGTCTATAAGGCATAATTTATCTATTCTTCATATTCTTCTGCCTCAAGGTTTTGAAAATCCTCATTCAGCATGCTTTAACAGAATTATGGCTTATACATCTTATTAAAAGATACCTGTTAGCATCTTTTTATCAAACCCCATAGCTGAGCAACTTGCTTCTAAAACAATTTGTTAACCTCTAGAATAATAAGCTGTTATGTAAAAATGGGAAAGCATTATGTCAAAATTGACTCTAAAGAAATTCTTTTTTTTCTCATTGACCTGCTATCTGTCGTGTAACGTTTAAGAAATCTGCTTTCCGCATTTTGTCATCTTATGAGCTATCTGTTTAACTCTTGCTTAGTTGTATGTTAAATCCTGCCTTCTTGCTTTGTAGCTAGTAAGAGTCAGAATTCCTGCAAATTCAGGATTTTTCTTTTCGGAAACAGCTAAGTGGTTATGCCCTTACATGTGTGCAGAGGCGGGAAGAAGGGCTGAAATCCTTCTGTGTATTTGCTGACCCCATACAGCAAATACTTCATTACATTTTCAGGAATGTTTAAATGGTTTGCTTTATTCCATCGGGTTGAGTCATCATCACTTTTATGTTTAAACTGGTGAAAGGTGGTTTTGATTCTTTTCTTTTTTTTTTCTTTGAAACTATTTCTTTGCAATGAACAGAAATAGTTCAGCATGTTGTGGTTCCAGGACTGAGTCCAGTTTGGGTAATCATTTATACTGTAAAATAACTTCATCTGAACCTCTTCAATGCATATGCTTTCTGCAATACAATATGGAAGTGGATTGTTAGGCTGTGTTAGTGCTGGAATGTGGGGGCTTATCCGGCTGTTTGCATGACCCTAAGATATATTTTAACATCTGGTCTTTTTTTTTATTAAATTGTGACGTGATACAATTGCAGGAGGGGGTACTATATAATTTAAAAAAATAATAAGTAATATGTTATTTCCTCTTTCTTCTCAGGTCTGATGTTGTGGTTCTGTGTTTTTCGATCGCTAATCCCAATTCCCTAAATCATGTGAAAACCATGTGGTATCAAGAAATCAAGCACTTTTGCCCTCGCACACCTGTTGTTCTAGTTGGCTGCCAGCTAGATCTCCGCTATGCTGATCTTGAAGCTGTTAATCGAGCCAGGCGCCCTTTGGCAAGGTAAGCCGAGGTACTGGGTGTTTCACTATGCTGGCCAAATAGAAGTTGAGAGGTAGCAGATGTCTCTGTGGCCTCACATTCTGTTCTTGAAAGGATGTGGGACCCCACTGGTCAAGCTTTCAGTTGTTTTGTTAATCATAAGGAATACTTATCATCTCTCTTCACCTCTTAACATGGAAACTTATTTTTAAATTATGGTTGCCTAGTGCTTGAATTTTCTAATTATGAAAGGCTATGCATGACAGTGCTGTGTGTTAGGCAAAATACTAACTACTACTGATTTCCTTCTGGAACTGGTAATTTTTATAATAAAGTTAACTAATTCTTAGAGTGGACAGTTAAATGTCTTAGCTTCAGGATTGTCGGTTTCATATTTGCAAAAAAACACAGCAAATACATCCCACTTCATACACCTAATAATCTCTTTGGTGAATCTGTCTCACCTCCTCATTCCTTGCTTGAGGTTCCAAGAGTTTGTAAGCAGCCTTCCAAGATACAGTTGGTCTCTTTTCACCTGGAGCAACAGTAAAAAAAGGGGGCATCAGAGCCAGACAGAGGGTATGGAAGGTGGAGCTAATTGCCTCCATGAACAACTACCTATTATTTTGCCTTGACATGAGTGGTGCTCAGCTACCATAACTGAATATGTTGATCAAAGATTGTATAGCAAAATTGATCAAATATTGTATAGAAAAATCCTGATAAAAGGGGAGAGATGCAGAATAGTCTCTTCCTTTAAGATTTGCTTAGGAAATCTAATGGTAAGTGGCAATGAATCAGAACTGACTCAAAGGCAGTGTGCTTTGATTTGATTTGGTTTGGTTGCCATGCATAGTCTCAACAACTAAATACTCTTTACAAAAAAAAATACTCCCCCATCCCCACCTTTTAAATATATTTTCAACTGAAGAATGTAGCATTCAGGAGGGCAAAAAGTTAATTTTTACTTCAGTGTTTGCTGAATAGGCTTATTAAAAAAATTTTATTGATTTAAATTGTTTTACAAATGACTCTCACGATAAAAGCGTACAGTACTTTTAAAAAGCAATTTTTCACTTTCTAGATACATTTGAAGTAAAATTCTAAAACTATTTCACCTTCAATTTTCATAATTCCTAAATGCATGGGCTAGGAATTGAGTATTAGGAGTTACACCAAAGAGTGAAGGATTCATAGTGACCTGAACTCAGGGACTTTCTGCCGAAAAGATTAGTGTAATCAAGTATCACAACCACTGACAGGTGGGACCTGGAGGGGAGCTCAGGCTGCAGAGGGACATTGCCTCCCATGGAGCAATTCTGAGCCGATTTCATGAAGAAGGTGGAATTTAAGCAAAGGCCAAAAAAGATTTCATCTCTTAGTAATTCTCAAATGGGTCTGAGAAACACAAAACACAAAATGTTCTCAGAGGCAAATCTTGATGTTTAACCTTCCTGTCTGGGCCAGCACCCTACAATTTTTCCTATTTTCTATTCAGGACTTCAAGTCCAAATTTTCTCCAGTATAGCCTTATTTCTCCTAAGACCAGTGTCTATATATCACACACATTACCTTTGGCATTAAAGACTAAACACTTGTCTTGAAAGATCATTTCTTAAAAATATTTCTTGGAACCAAGTATGTGTGTCTGAAGAGCAAAACGATGATCACACCTTGCACCTGCATCAGAAACTTACCTATTTCACCTCACGGTGCCATCACCACAGCACTGTGCTGCTCATAGTCTTCCAATGACGTCAGCTCCCTGGATTTTATAAGACTGGAAATGGGCCTTTGTGCCTGTCTAAATGATGACTTTATTCCATGGCTTTACAGAACCAAAAAATTTAAAACAGAATTGCGGCTAAGCCATATTTATGGTGTATAAAGGTTTTTTTCTTGCAGCAATGACCATTGACTTAAGTTGGAGAATGTGAAGAACTCAATAGACTTATTGTAATAAACCAGAGAATAGACAACGAGGACCTAGCTGAAAAGAATGGAAGAAGAAAGAGAATTCATAAATTCAGTTGTTGTTGTTGTTGTTGTTGTTGTTAGGCACTAACAAGTCAATATTAACCCATAGAGACCCAACATGCCCCATAGGATTTTTCAGCTTGTAATCTATGGGAGCACTGTGTCAGGCCTTTTTTTCCCCTGGATTCACTCTACCAGCCTTTTGGTTGGTAACTTGACACTTAAACATTGTGCCACCAGGGCTTCCTCATAAACCCAGTAACTGGAACTTAGTGAACTTTTTGGGTCTGCAGCATTTAATGTGGAGTGGGAAATTCTAGACTCTGTTCTTTCCTCATATTGCAAATGTGATCCTAACCTAACTCCACAATGATCTGCCTCCGTTTCCTTAAGAATGTAGAATGAAAATAAGACCTCACTGGTTTATCATAAGGTTCAAATGAGAAATGCACTTGGGTTCATTTTAAAAGGTATAAGGCATAATTCAAGCACAAAGTGATGATGGGGTGATAATGATAATGCAAATAACAGCTACCATTTATCAAGCACTGAAGCACTGGTCCAGCTACTCTCTTTTTTTAAATTTTATTTTATTAATTTTAATGAACATTTATAGAGATTTTGGATTTCCATTCATTCATTGTTGCACTTTTCTCCCTGCCCCCATCTCCAGTTCGCTCCTCTCTTTGAAAAGTAAAAGAAAAATTATTTCATTGCTATACAATCCCCCCAGCAACCCCAACACCACCCCAAGTACACTCCACTCTGCAACCTTAATTCTGGACTCCTGTGATAACCATAATACCATATCATATATCGCTTTTAAACTGTTCTCTCCCTCATCTGTTTCAATGCCGTGTGCATAATTTATCCATTATTTCTCAGTCTCCCCTCAACCCTGACGTCAGTCCTGTTTTAAAACAGTGGCACCACGCAGTATTTGTCCTTTTGTGACTGAGATATTTCACTAAGCATAATGTCCTCCAGAGTCACCCATTTTGAATAATATTGCATGAGTTCCTTGTTTTTCAATGCAGCATTAGTATTCCAGTGTGTGAATAGACCACAGCTTCTCTATCCATTCATTTGTTGATGGGCACTAAGGTTGTTTCCAACTCCTTGCTATTGTGAACAAAGCTGCGATAAACAGGGGTGTGCATATATCTACTTGGATGTCGGTTATGGTCTCTTTATGGTATATTCCCAGTAGTGGAATTCCAGCTACCCTTTTGAGTACTATATGCATGTTATTTCATCTTAGTCTCAATAGTGCTATATATTTTATGTATTGTTGAGACAGAACTGACTCATAGCTGGCCCCCCAGTGGGTTTTGAGAGGTTGTGAATCCCATGAGGGTAATTGTCCATCTTTTTCCCGTGGAGCAGCTGGTGGGTTTGAGCCACGTACATTTTTTTGGCCGCACAATTTCTTATTCACTGGACCACTAGAGCTTCATCGTTAAGGTATAGCTATGTTTATGTTATTGCTGTTTCAAAGATGGGAAAATTGAGCTGAAAGAATTTAGGTAACTTAACCAAACTCAAACATCTAGTGAATCCATAGTACTTAATTTACCTTGTTTACTGTTGAAAACATTTTCTCCTACAGGCATAACTCATTCCTTTGTTTTGGAAGACTTGAGGTTGGTAGAATATTTTTCCAAGATTTTTATTAAAAACCTGACTAAGGTGTTAAATATACACTCTAGTTAGTTGCTTAAATAAGTCCAGAGCTCTGGAAGTCTAGGGGGTAAGGAGTTGTGCTGCCAACGTAAAGGCACACGGTTCAAGTCTACCAGTTGTGCATTCTCCTGCTTTGAGATTTAAGCTCCCTCTGAAAACCCAGTGGAGGGTCAACTGTGAGTTGGTTTTCAACTCGACAGCACATAACAGAATAAGACTGATTATAATCTTTTAAACTATTGTATTTCAGGCCCATAAAAAGAGGTGATATTTTGCCCCCAGAAAAAGGTCGAGAGGTTGCAAAGGAACTGGGCATCCCCTATTATGAAACGAGCGTATTTGACCAGTTTGGGATCAAGGATGTGTTTGACAATGCTATCCGAGCTGCACTGATTTCCCGCCGTCACTTGCAGTTCTGGAAATCCCACTTAAAGAAAGTCCAGAAACCTTTGCTTCAGGCACCATTCCTACCTCCAAAGGCCCCTCCGCCGGTCATCAAGATCCCTGAGTGCCCCTCCACCTGGACGAATGAAGCCGCCTGTCTACTCAACAACCCTCTGTGTGCTGACGTCCTGTTCATCCTTCACGACCAGGAGCACATCTTTGCACACCGAATTTACCTCGCTACCTCCTCTTCCAAATTTTACGATCTGTTTTTAATGGACTGTGAAGAATCCCCAAATGGAGCTGAAGGGGGTTGTGAGAAAGAGAAGCAGAGGACTTCCCTTGACCCCGAGGAGGAAAGGGAGCAGGCCACCCCATGGACCCCTCAGGCTGAGGAATGGAACTCTTCCAGCCAGGGCTCCTTGGAGCCTCTGGGGCTGGAAGCTGAGGGCTCTGTCCTGGAGACACAGGTTTTGTCCGGGTGGAGTAAGGGGTTTGTTGGCATGCACAAGGAGATGCTAGTCAACCCCATTTCAAAGCGGGAGGGCCCTGTGACTGTGGTTAGGATGGACGCGTCAGTCCAGTCAGGCCCTTTCAGGACCCTGCTCCAGTTTCTTTATACAGGGCAGCTGGACGAAAAGGAGAAGGACTTGATGGGTCTGGCCCAAATCGCAGAAGTCCTGGAGATGTTTGATTTGAGGATGATGGTGGAAAACATCATGAACAAGGAAGCCTTCATGAACCAGGAGATTACAAAAGCGTTTCATGTCAGGAAAGCCAATCGGATAAAAGAGTGCCTCAGCAAGGGGACATTTTCAGGTGAGAGTGTCCAGGGACAGAGTTTCTGATACTCTTGAATGTATTTTATCATCTACTAGCCAAACATAATGGGGGAGGGCAAGATGGATAACATAGCTGACATTTAAGAAATAACAAAAAAAAACCCCGTGCTACTATAAAGTCAATTCCAATGCATAACAAACCTATAGGACAGGGTAGAACTATCCCATAGAGTTCCCAAACTTGTAAATCTTTACAGGAGGAAGCTTATCTTTTGTCCTGTGAAGCAACTGATGGATTTGAACTACTGACCTTAAAGTCAATAGGCAAATGCTTAACCCCACACACTACTAAAATTGCTTATTTTCCCCCCATGTACCTTACGTGCATTGATATAATTTTCGCCAGATATAAGAGTTGCTTATTATGATTTGTAGTTTGCAGATTGGAAAACCAAGAGAGAGCAAGGTTGGACAACTGGCCTATGGTTACATGGATGCTAAGTGGCGGAGCAGGATTTGAACCTAAGCTACTGTGACTGCAAACACTGGTCACTAAGCCACCGTGAAATCATGCTGCCTCATTGGTCAGGCTATTCTTGGGCCTTTCACCTGCTTGGTGCTTCAAATTCACCTCTGGATGCTTTCCTTGGCCAACTCCATGCCCCACTGACACTTCAGAACTTACCTCAAGTCAGAAACTTGTGGTCCTTAGGCCACTGATGTCCTTGTGACAGTTTTGGTGCCCCTCTGAATTCCCTCTCCTTTTCTGTTCTCACACATTTTGCCCTGTTCCTCCATATTTTTCTTGCTCCATCTTTATTTGTTAATAACTCTGCTATATGCTACCCACAGCACCTTTAGGTAATTACAAGAGCATGCACTGATGGCCTGTGCCCACTATGGGTTCCTTATGCTTGTGCTGATTTACACAATGGCTCTGCTTATTTTTGTTTGTTTGTTTGGAATTTACCATCTGATTTTGTGTGTGCATGTGCATGCGTGCATATACATGCAGTAGTAAATGTCAGTGTAGAAATTTTACTTCCTGTCATCAATTATACTGATACCTCTGTTTTTCACGTTCTTTTCATGTCATGCTACTACATTTTTAGTGAGTGCTTACTGAGTATATTTATTTGTTTTTAAGCTTCTATCATTTACTCCAGACACTGACCATTATGACTATTATGGTATGGTACTTTTGGCAGTTAATGAAAAGAAAATACTGCAAACTTACACTAACTTAAGCAACAAACTTTAGGTAAAATTGATCAAATCATTCTTTCTTTATTGCAGATATATAATGATCTAATACAGTGAATAAGGCTCAGTTAAATTCTTTTTATGAAAAGTTTAAGGTACAATTTAGAGATAATTAGAGAAAGTTAAATGTGAACTAGGTACTGAATGATTTAAAAAATTGTTTGGCTTCTTAGTTATAAGGAGCTCTTGAGGCATAGTACTTAGGGCATCACTCTAATAACCCAAAGGCAGCACTTCTCTGGAAGTTCAAATCCACCCATAGCTCCATGGGGGGGAAAAAAGTACTGACCCACTGACTCATGACTAAGATTTACAGCTTTGGAAACCCAGTGGAGGATCAGCTATGAGTCACTTCTGACTCAAAATCAATGAGTTCTTTTTTTTTTCAATGAGTTCTTTTGAGTTTGTAGATATAATAACTGTATGTTATTTATGAGAATGTTCTTATTAAGAAAAATTATCTGAAGTAAGTGTTATGCTACCTTTACACACACACATACACAAATATAACTAAAATGAACATAGCAAACTGTTAACAGTCATTGACTATGGGCAATTGACAAGAATTATTTATTCCACTGTTGGGTATGTTTTGTTTTTCATTATAAAAAGATGGGATAAAGTATTCCTTTCTGTTATTTTATGCTTTGGACAATTTGTGTCATAACCTTATTTATTTTTCTCTAATTCTTGGAGAATAGGAGGAGAAAGTAGGTATGTAGAAGGTGGGACTTGACATAAAATTGGTAAATGAAAGTATGAAAGAGAGAAAAGTGCCATAAGCTGATGGGTATGGGCAGAGCGGAAGTCTGATTTGTGCTCTCACGGAGGCTGTGTTTCCTCAATTCTTTGGCAGATGTGACATTTAAATTAGATGATGGAGCCATAAGTGCCCACAAACCACTGCTGATCTGCAGCTGTGAATGGATGGCTGCCATGTTTGGAGGGTCCTTCATGGAAAGCACCAATAGTGAGGTATGTCCCTCTCTAAAACCTCAGTGGTATCTTTATGTATGTGCATGTATATTCATATAAGCTCTTGTTCCAAGTTCAAACCAAGCTCACTGCCGTTGAAGTTTACAAAATGTACAGCTTTGGGAAGCCAATGGAGGGTCACTACACTTCAGAATCCATTCAATGACAGGAAGTTTAAGTTTGAGAAGCAACCAGATTGCCTGTCAGATGTTGAGCCTGTCCACAACAGACAGGAGAGAAATGTCAGTATTATCTCTCAGATTCTTTGTATGAGGTCTGTTGGAAAAGAAGGGAAAACTTTGAATCCAGGCACTTCTATCCTCAGTCTTAAAGCGAACAAGTATTTCTGTTAGTTTTTGTTACTATTTTCTAAGGAAAACCAAAAATACCGTAGGGGCATCCCATCAAGTTTATTGTCCTAAGAGTCTTGTTTTGCTTATATCAGCATTTCTCCAAGCCTTTAAAGAAATACAGAAAACAGTAATTCTTCAAAAAGGATGCTTGTGGAAGAAATCTGAGCACTCCTGTGTGACTCAGGAATTTGCATTTGCATCCCCTGAGATAGAAAGGGAATCCTAAAATCACAGGCCTGGGATCGCTGGGACTGAGAAGGTCATTAGGCCACCATTCTCCTTCCAGAACAAACGGAAGAAAATTCCAATGTTGTCCAGTCAATTCCAACTCGTGGTGACCTTGTGTTACAGAGTAGAATAGCCCCATAGCATTTCTAAGACAGTAAATCTTCACCGCAGCACAACCTCATCTTTTTACAAAAACATAGCTAGAAGAGTTTGAACTACCAACCTTTTGGTAGCAGCTAAGTACCTTACCCACTGAACCACCAAGGATCCTTGGAACGAGCTGCAGATGGTCCTACACCAACCCCAGCAAAGAGTTGTCTGCTGTTTTGAGAAAAGATGTCAGAAATATTTTTATGCACTTTAATCTCATAAAAACTCATTGCTGGTTCATAGCTCATAACCCTGAAGACTGCCTGTCTTTCTCTCCCATGAGTCAGCTAGTGGATGTGAACTGGCAGACAGGTGTGGCTTTTAGGATAACCATCAGACTAGACTATGCCACCAAAGTTCCTTAATCCTTATAATCGGAGTTCTCTCCATACGTGGGGCTTTGACATGGAGACTTGGGCAGTTAGTGGTATCCAGTGAAGATCCTGTGGTGTAGAATCCAGCTCCTTCACTTACAGGCTGTGTGACTTTAAACAAGTGGTTTAATCTGTCTGCGCTCCAGTGTTCCCATGTGAAAAGCAGGTTAATAACAACAACCATCCCATAGTGTGGTTTTGAGGTGTACAAGTCAATCCTTGCAAAGTATGTTTAAGCATTACATAAACAGTAGTTGCAACTAACCTTATCTTACTCTCAGTGGTATTGATGGTGTTTTCTCCCCTCTTACATTCAAGAAGAATTTGAGGTAGCCATCAATTAGTAAAACAATCCAATTTGCATTTCACCACCTTCCATAATCCCTGGAGATGAAGAGCTCAGGGCTTGCTTCCTTTCCCAGCTCACTAAAACATATGCTGATTGGGCTGCACAGGACCTGCTCTTAACCAAGCAGAGAGAATTTGATCCAGGTCAGGAACTGAGGCACAAAGGGACACTGTCAAAGCTGATCTCCCGAATGCTAAGCTCCTTTATCCCTTCCCAGAATGGACTCTAATCATCTCCAGATTAAATGTGCCATAAAAGTGACCAAAACAAAAACTTGGAGTATATGTGAATGTGCATGTTACGGAACCTCTGCTGGGGACTGTCACCTGTTGGTTAACACACCTCCTACCCGAGAAAGACTAGATCATTCCCCGACATGTTCTGAAAAGCTGAGGTTGAACTCAAAAGACAAAGACCAAGGAATCAAGCAACAGAAGGTCTGGGCTAAAATCCTTTTAAAGTCTGTTAAGGATACCATAAGCCACTGATTTGTACATTTAAAAATGGCAAACTCTATGTTGTGTACATTTTACCAAATAATTTTAAAAAATTTAAATATAAATTTAAAATTTAAAATAATTTAAAAAAAAAAAGAGAGAAAGAGTCCTTTGTACCCTTGATGTGCCTACGCATTCCATGTCTCTTCTTTTGATTTCCAGGGTAAACTATAATTTAGTAGTTGAAACTCATATCACAAAACTTTTTTGTTTGATCTAAGGTGAATGGCTCTCCCTAAGTTTTAGTTCCTCATCTGTAAAATGGGGATAGCCAAGCATGAGAGGACAGCTTCTAATGAGGACCCTCGAACACGCACACGCTCAGCGAGTGTTAGACTGTCATCCCTCTGCTAACCCAAAGGCTGAGCTTTTCTCTTGGCCCAAAGCCACCAGGCTCTCTGAGGGATAAAGACCAGCAATCTTCTCCGGTGCCTTGCAAGCCCACTGGAGGGTCAGCTGCAAGTCACAGAACCAACTTGGTGACAGTGAAAGAGTAGTGAGTGTTTCATGCACTATTCTTGTTAAATTATTTCTATGTAAGGTTAAATATTTTGTCCCGTGATGCCCTGAGAAGTCCACAGGCCCTGTTTGGAATGAGAAAAGCATAGTCGAAGTAGAACACAGTGACTGCAGCAATGGAATCAAGTGTGTAGGACATGGTGTGGATGCCCAGGATGGAGCAGAATCCAGATCTCTCATTCATAAGGTAGCTATGAGTTGTGCTCAACTTGACGGCACCTAACAACACAGCAGCTAGTATAAGTAACTATAGGGATAGAGAGAGCACTCTGAAATATGTATATTCCACAGGTGATCCAGCCTTGTTTTTATACTTGAGGTTTGTCCTTCCAAACCACCTGTCTGACATCTCCCATAAATTTAATATATGCATTGGCGTGTTAATAGAAATCGTGTTTCTATCCTGAAAGGCATAAAATATACCCAGTGATATTACTTTAACTTGTTGGTCATTTAATATTCAAAGAGACACTGTATTTTACTGATATTTTTCTCATTACTTTTAATGTAGCAGTAAGCGTACTTCTCTCCTTAGAGGCAGTCAACAATTGGTTTATTAAAAATGCATGCCCGTGTTGGAATAAAGCTCTGGCTTTAGTAGACTTCTCATTTTCTATGAGACCATCTCTAATTATAAGCCTAATAGTTTGTGCTGATTTTCGCAATTAAAATCTTAAACCAGCTAAACTGGAATGCAGGACATTGCTTAGTATTCCTCTCTTTCATTACTTTTCTTAAAACTCTCTCCAGCAGGTAGGATGCAAAATGTTTAATTGTTTCTTATTTTTGTTATGCTGAAGTCCAAGAAAGTGTTCTTTCTCATAAAGCTAATTATAAAGTTGAAAATACAGAAATAGGACTTTAAAAAAAAATCAGCTGTGAGAAGGAAATTTATGTTCAGAAAGTATTGTCACCTTATTTTCTTTAACTGGTTAATTCTAAATATCCCTAAAATTATTATAGAAAAAGAGCTGTGGGTTTAAAATAACTAATCGAGTTCTGTTAAGCAAGGAACAGTAGGTCATGGGTAACTAAAACGTCAGCACACTCCAAGGATATTGGATTGGAAGGCTTGGAGCAGAGTGCTGGCTAGTCTCTGTCCTCTCCTGCTGCCAAAAATTATTTCTTCTTATTTAGGATGTTATTTTCCCATTTATACTTCCAAGAGACATTATGGTTTTGAAGCAATGACTTAGCACAATCCTTCTACCAACAACTGCTCAGGTAATCTGAATGTCCTCCAACCCCAGAGTCTCACTGAAGGAGAATGTTTTAGACATTAGCTATCCCTGAGATTCCTCCCATGGACCAGGTGGTGACTCTTAAGGTCAGGGAGGATGAGTGATTTATCAAAGGTCCCCCAGCCTTTTGGTGATTTGAACTAGGTTCTCTCCCTGTCATCCGAGTCCTTGCTTTCAGTGGCAGTAAACACTGCCATGTTTGTAAGAAGATACTGCAGGACTTCTACTGGCAATTCATAGCAGTCATCAGTTTGTAAAATGCCCTTTAACTATTAAAATAGTTTCCATTTTAAGGAGTCACAGTTAACTTTCAATTATCCGGAAAACTGCGCCAATCTAAACATCATTCTAGAGAAACTAATTTTACTGCATGTTTATACACACACAAATAAGTTTACGTGGTTGTCTGTAAATACAACCATAGCTAATATAAAATAAGTACATTGGGAGGGTGGAGAGACAGCAGTACAAGACAGAAAGACCACTCGATGAGATGGATTGATTCAATGACTGGGGTAATCAGGGTGGGTGTGTCGGAGACAATGTTATTGACACAGGATAGAGCAAGGTATAGGGCTGTTGTACATAGGGTCACTATGAGTCACAGGTGACTCATAACAACAACAACATATATAAACCTATATGAATGTAAGCATACTCTAGTTTATCCTAAGTACATACAGCTAGTTAAAGGGGGAAGAATGTTCCAGCATCTATATACAGCAGATGATCTAACATGAACAATGGTTTCTTTAAAATAGTATCGGGATCAGCTTTTACTTTCTGAGACCTGTCTATTACAGAGGTTGTGCTAGAAACTTGAAATGCCCACTGATTTCTGAAGTCATTAATAATAACCACATTTTCAGCTTGTTGTGGAATCATAACAGTTCTCACTATGTAGGAAAGAAGATCTTTCTTTAGTATTTTAGGCATTTTTTTGACACATGTTACGGGGCCATCTCTACATGACTGAGAAGGCATTTCCCTCTAAGAGGTGGTTAGTGACTGATTAGGAAGACGGTACAGAACATTGTTGTAGCTTAAACCATTATGGAGCCTCACTACTAGGATGTATTGGCCATGAACCTCCGTACGATGAGTATGATTTTATCTGTCTGTCTGTACACCTTTCTACATACTCACATACCCTGTGTGGCATTATATAAGCATATATGCATTATGTATATACCCTTATAACGTGTTATTGGCAAATAAATCATTGTGCACTCTCTCTG